GAGGGGTCTTCTGTAAGGTCTTTTGGATCTTCTGTAAAATCACAAGGTTCCTCCAAAGCAGCAACTAGGAAGGTTCTGCCCTCTGTAAACATTGTTGAAAGCAAAGCTTTATCACGAACGCTGAAGAGAAGTGGTTCCATCCTCACGCGGTTTTATTATCTGATGAATGTGAAGATCCAGGTGGGCTGGCTGGTAGATCCAACAGCCGTTTCCAGACTGTGACGGGAATGACATTTAAATAAAGTCAGGCCTTGGCCACGGTGGCTCGGCTGGTTTGAGCCGCATCCCTGAAAGGTCNCATTTAAATAAAGTCAGGCCCTGGCCACGGTGGCTCGGCTGGTTTGAGCCGCATCCCTGAAAGGTCACCAGTCCAGTTCCTGGGCAGGGCACACACCCAGGTTTAGGGTTTGGTCTCGGGTCAGGGTGCCTGCAGGAGGCAAATGATCGCTGTTTCTCTCTCTCTCCCCCTCTCCCTTTCTCCCCTTCTCTCTAAAATCATTTTNACGTCAATGTTTCTCTCTCTCTCTCCCCCTCTGCCTTTCTCCCCTTCTCTCTAAAATCATTTTTTTAAAAGGCAAAACAAAAACATCAGCATAAAGAGAACCAGGAGTTTCCTGTGGCTGAGAAGACTAATTATCCCTCCACGTGAGCGCTTCAATGAGAAGGGCCCATGTGAATTTACATACGCTTGCTCTACCCGTGGGTTCCTTCACTTTGGTTCCCTCCTGGGGCCTTTTGGGTGGAGAAGATATTTCGGACTCTAGACTTGAGGAACAGCCTCTCTTGTTGGTCAGCAGGCCTGCCTTGTTCAAGTCAGACCAGCAGAAAACATTCAAGGCCATTATTTAAAATATCAACTCCTTTCATCTCATAGCGATGTTGGGGCAGTAATGCTAAGCCAGTACTTCAGTGTCGTTCCTAAGTCCAGAGCCTTGCCTCTCTCTGCCTCTTCCTTATGTCATTGGCATTAAATTTTTATTTATTTAGTTGGTTATTATTTTTTAAATATGTCTTTATTGATTTCAGAGAGGAAGGGAGAGGAAGAGAGAGAGAGAGAAACATCAGTGATGAAGAGCCATCGATTGCCTGCCTCCTGCACGCCCCTGACTGGGGATCGAACCCACAACCCAGGCCTGTGCCCTGACCGGGAATCGAACCGCCATCTCCGGGTTTATGAATCGATGCTCAACCGCTGAGCCACGCCGGCCAGGCGGCATTACATTTTTATTTGTTTTGTTGGATTTTGTTTGAGTTTTCACAATGTCTCACAGGGACAGTGTGGGACAGATTTGTCTTTATATTTGTAAGGAGTAGAAAAGCCTGGTGGGTCTTTCTTTGTGTGAGGCCAGTGTCCTCGCTCACAACAGTCACCTGCTGTTTTTAATTTTAGCGTTGCTCACACTGTAAGAACTTGGTAACTCCTTTATTATGGACATAGCCAAAGACAAAAATAGGTCATTGTTAAATGCCTTTACTTACATGTTTAAAAATATGTATATGGCAAATTCAAACTACACAGAAAGGTTATAAAATGAAAAATACGGCTTCTTTCCAGCCCTCCGACTTCTACTCCACTCCTCACAAGTAACCCACTTAGGTTTCTTGCATATAGATCCAGAAAAATTGGGAGGAAAAGTATAGTTGCAGCGTATATGATATAGTTTCTTTAAAAATTAAAATCAAAATTTATTCTGCTTACCATTTGTCACCTTTCAACAAGTCAAATCACGTTATATGTAGTATTCTTCACCTCCCTACAAACACTTACTTTTACTAGTAATGAAGCGGCAACTCAAGGCTAGCTCTCAGAAACGGGACTCCTGGTGACATCTTACAGAGAGGCCTTTAAAACCCTCCTGCAAAATGCAGTAGGGGCTACCTGCTAGTTAAAACTTACCAAAAGTAAGTGATGAAACAGAGATAGAACAAAACAGAGGGAAATATGCCCCCAAACCAGTGCCCAAATCTGGAAAGGGGAAAATTCCAACCCAGACCCAATGAACAAGGCCAAAGAAGAGGGTAGGGACCAACGTCCAGGGAAGACAGAGACATCGGCACCCGCTCAGACTGACAGACAAGTGCAGGCTGGGGCTATTTTTAAAGGAGACCAAAGAAGAAGGAATGGCCACAAATAAAAAGGGAACATGTTGAACCACTGGGAAAGTGCTAAATTTGAAAAGAGAGAATGGTGCTAATGTCCTAAGAAATGCTCTAGAGACACTTTAAAATTGGAAAGGTTCTGATCAGAAGGAGAACTGACATGATGGCATAAACAATGACTCAAGTGTAAATAGACACGAATCTATTTAATCCAATACTTAGTGAGTTAATCTACTATTTAATAAGTAATGTAAAGATGCAGCAAGCCATATAAAAAATATGATGAAAACTCTACATAAGCCGATTGGACCCGTGGGGTTATGATACTTGGGTCCCATATAATGCTTTTGGTCCCAGAACCAGTCAGGTTCTTCTGTGCCCCGTGTGTGTGTGTGTGTGTGTGTGTGTGTGTGTGTGTGTGTGTAAGGGAGTGAACCTCTATGCCACTTTACCCCGATATGTTTCTCCTCTCTGACCTCCCTCTCCTCTGCAATGTTCCCCATGTGGCCAAACGCACTTCCTCTCTGAAGGTCTCACTCCAAAACCCCTTACCTCTGCTCAGAAGCCTTCCCATCTCATCCATTCTTCAGAGCCAGTGTCCCCTGCATATTGGACTCCCGGTGCTCTTGGTATGTTCCTGGTTCTTTTATGGTACTTCTTACATGTGCATCTTTCTGCATTTGTGAGTTTGTTGAGGGCAGAGACAACACAGCTTTGTGTCTCTAGCACCTACTGTAGTGCCTGGCACCTAGAGATTCTTTAATCGTTAAATAGAAGTAAGTAACTGGGAGTGTAACGTTGGTTTATTTGTTTCATGGCTTCATAAAATTACATAACTTTTTAATCATAAAAACCCCAGGACCCATGTAAATTTAATAGTCCCTAGCGAATGCCTAATTGTCCTGTTCTTAGAACGCCCTCCTTCCTGATTAACCATGGCCAACGTAGAGTTACAAGGAAATTTGGAGAGTGGTCTAGCCTTTCAGAGCTCTGAGAAATTTTGCCGACTGCCTGATGCTTCCTTGAGTCAGTAAGCATCGATTAAAAACTCGGGTGAATCAAACAGCACCTCCATGCAAGTTACCTGAGATATTACACAACATAGGATGCTAGAACATTGTAAAGGTGCTCTCTGGAGTAGGGAACTGCAGACTTACCCCGCCCCTTTTGACACTCATTGATGTCACAGCAGTCTATGTCCTGCAGCAGGCAAAAGTTTATAGAGAGATGAGAGGACAGGGCCTGATAAAGTGATCTTTATTTTTAAGCCACAGATGGTTCTCCTGAGCATTCCTGTCCAGTCACCATAACATCTTCTTGTGGGATCTTGATTCCTGTTGATTAGCCTGAAAAAATTTCCCTGGATGCAGGTGACTCATCGTCTCGTTCCAAGGATACTATCTCCGAGTTGAGCACTAGACAAATGTCAAGAATTGGCACATCCTAAGGACCTTGGCTCTATTGGGCTACTCCCCCAGGAAAGCTTTCTGAAGGTACGGGATCTTCAAACATCGCTGCCAGGAGCACTGGTCTTCTAACTTTTTTGGCCCGTATCCTACTTCGTATACAAAGAGCATATGCCCCAACATAAGCTTCTGGTTATAAATTATATATACATGCATTTCTGTATCAATATAGTACATTAATTATAAAAACATACATGCAATAAATATCAAACAAATGAAATTCGCTTCTAATAAGATATTTCCTTAATTTGCATTGATAACTACTAAAATAGAAAAGAAAATTGATGTATAGAATTTATTTTAAAATTCCTCAAAACAAAAACAATAGATGAAATAAATGTGACAGAATCTTTATAACTGTTGAATTCTGATAATAAATACAGAATATGGGGGTTTGTTCTGTTCTCTCTACTTTGGTGGATGTTTGAAACTTTTCATAATAAAACCTATTTAAACTTATAAAAAAACAGAGAAAAAGAGTAGAATATGATAAATATGGTATAGAAATTCTAATGTTTTCTTTCTTCACCCCTGTGAGTTTTCTTGTATACCTCACCTTGGCGTCTACTGGTTTAAAGAGAAAATAAATAGACCAAAGTGAGTCTACTTGAAATACTGAAATATCCATTTTCTTAAACTCTACACTTTAGCCAGAGTAGTCAGTATTAGAAACTCAGATTTTGTTTGAACGGCCCACTTTTTAATCTATTCAGTCTATTTCACACTAGTAGAAAACTAAAATGCCTTAAAAACAAACACACAGCCTGTCATTAACTGGAACTCCAAGATACTGGGTTATATAGCAGAGTCCATTAGTAAATCCACTGCATAAAGGCTACATTTTTATTCACAAAGTAGTGTAGCCTTTTCTGTTCATTTCATTTGAAAGGGGCTTTAATATTTTATTTTTTAAAATGTAAAAGTAACCATTAAATGAGTGCATGTCATATCCATGGACTGATGGCAAGAAAAGGTAAATGTAAAAGAGAGTTGATTAAATTCCTGAAAATTAAAAAAATTTCCTCTTTAATGGAGACTGGTTCATTCAAGCTCTTTTGGTCAACCCTCTGGCTCTTGTAATCAACAAAAGAGAATTCTTGCAGGCTTCTTATAGGGTAAGGTTGTCTTCAGCATTGCACATATCAACTCAAGCACATTTCAGAATTACTCATACTTTTTAAAATATTCATGTAATGTTCAAATCTATGTCATTAATAACTTAATATCAGCTTTCCAATGAGGTTTTTTGTTTGTTTCAATATATCTTTATTGATTTCAGAGAGAGGAACGGAGAGGGAGAGAGAGATAGAAACATCAGTGGTGGGAGAGTTATCATTGATCGGCTGCCTCCTGCACGCCCCTGACTGGAGACCGAACTTGCAACCCGGGCATGTGCCTTGACCGGGAATAGAAACGTGAACTCCTGGATCCTCGATTGATGCTCAGCTGCCGGGCCACTCCCAGCCGGGCTCCAGTGAGTTTTTTATATGATTTAATTTCCCATAGTTGCTGTAACCCTGAAGATCCCTAAGCTGTTAGGATTCTCTAGAGAAGACTATGGTTGTCGGGAAAGAATGGAAGGAATAGAGGCAGTTCACTATCCATTGGGAGCAGCCTAGAGCCTGTGTCAGCACCTCATGCACAACACCAATGTGGTCACTTGTGTCAGAATCTGTTTCCCTGCTGGATAACACTTTCCCCAAATACACAATGAATTTATGAGCAAGAGAGTGTGATGTTACTGGAGAAAGGACTTTTACTTCTCCCATTCCATTAACTCTTAGTTTTCCAATGAAGAAAAATTGCACCACCACCCTTAATAGATTTCTATTTAGAATGCTAATTATTTTAACAAACAAGTTGGGTCTCTCTTGATGGTACCATTTCATACGTTCAACGATTTATCTGTCACAGTCAGATACCAAAATCTGCCAAGCGATGATGACACCGTCAAGACCAGCCTTTTTCATTATGTGGGCTAGAATATCCAGGGAAATGTATTTCTAACTGTTAGAAAATACAGAACATGATTTTGGAAGTGGGATATGGAAATACTTCCTTTATAGAGCCAAGTTATCTCACCAATGAGTGTGTTGAATATAAATGTTTCTTTTCAGAGGCCAACAGATTCTCATCTTTTACCTGAAACAATATCGGAGTTACATCTTCCCTGACAGGGTGACTTGAGCATGTTCACACTGACTGAGATGGTGGGCAGAATCACCTTCACTTTTAAAAAAATATGTTTTTATTGATTTGAGAGAGAGAGAGGAAGGGAGAGGGAGAAATCGAGAGAGAGAGAAACTTTGGTAAGTGAGAACCGTCGATTGGCTGCCTCCTGCACGTCTCCTACTGTGATCAAGCCCGCAACTTGGGCGTGTGCCCTGACTGGGAATCGAACCAGCGACCTCTTGGTGCATGGGATGATCCTCAGTCAACTGAGCCACACTGGCCAGGATTCACCTGCACTTTTTAAGTGGATTTGTTTCATAAACTATATTTCTAAGTATATTTATTTGATAGTAGAACTTTAGGATTGACTTCTACAGGAATTCTATTCCTTAACTCTCACGTTAACATCTCTGTGCAGTCCCTAGAACTATTTTCATTGTAATTTCATAAACGAGAAGCAGAGGCTTAGAATGTTTGTAGGGTACACAGAGGCAGGACTTGAAGAAGTTATAACTTCTGACGCCAAATCCTAGCTCAGTATGGGAGACAAAGATGCTTGAAAGGTGTAAGGAAAGGTAGAAGGCTGAGGAGATTTTAGGGCAAATGTGGGTGTTTTCTGGTGTTCGCTTCCACAGTATGAAGAAGGCCGAAGGACAGGAGAGAAGGAGCCTCTGTCTTGTTATTGATGGATTTAGAATCAGCATGCAGTGAGGATGACCTTTCTAGAATATTAAGAAAATAATTTGAACGTTCTGTTTAGATTGTGGATAACGTTCTAAGTATCTTCATGTGTTATTACAATGCTTTTTGACATTTAGTTTATTTGCATTGTGGTTGTCTCTTAACATATATAAATGCTTTCCACATGCACAACCCAAATTGAATTCAAAGTAATATTAACCTGAAGGGTAAGCCACAAGCCTGTAATAAATATTGCATGACTGGAGAATATTGTTTAAGTAAATGGAAAAAATATCTAAACCTAAGCACATCCAATATTGTGAAGGATTTATCATCAAATTTAGTCACTTTAGCAGCCTTACAGATCATTTAAAAGGGAAATAGAAAAAGTCCCCATAATTTTCTTGCCTTTTTTCTAAAAGTTAACATCAAAAGAAAAACATTAATTTGTCTTAAGTAAAAATAAAGATTGTTATATATCACGTATTTCCTAGATTTTGTATAGGTATCATTTTTTAAGTTGCTATGTGTTATCTGATAGAGGAACACAAGGATGTTTTATCTTTTAGCTGATTTCTTTGGTACCATTGTGTAATTTCTTTTGTTTTTTACTACTTCCCAACTTAAGTTTCCATGGAAATGGAATCAGTCAGAAAGTATTTGAGACTTCCTCAGAATGTTGAGTTAAGTATTCCCAATTAGGCTTCAGGCACTCATAGCTGACTTAATATGAGTCTCTGTATTATATCTTTGAAGGTGTAGAAAACTGGGTTATGACTTCACAATAGGTTTGCATTTTCAACGATTTTTGTTAAAGACTTGGATCAGAGAGCTTTAAAATTAGTTAAGTGTGATAGAACATGCTTGAACAAAATGAAGTATCTTTAGGCATACTATTCTGGACAGCTAAGGAGACACCAGTCATCACAGTTAAACTCATCAACATTGGTTAAATGTTTCTTAGCTGAAAAGTTATCCTTTGTAATACAGTGTATTGTGAGTAGGAAGAATTATATTGGGCTTCAGTTTAGAGCAGTGAGTAATTGAAAGTCAAGAGAGGTAAGACAGAAAATTACAGAATTGAAAAGCCTCCAAACTGGCCCGGCCGGAGTGGCTCAGCGGTGGAGCATCAACCTAGGGTCCAGGAGATCGGGGTTCAATTCCCGGTTGGGGCACGTGCCCTGGTTGCGGGCTTGGTCCCCAGTCGGGGGCCTGCAGAGGAAGCAGCCGGTCAATGACTCTCATCATTGATGTTTCTGTCTCTCTCCCTTCCTCTCTCTGAAATCAATAAAGACATTAAAAAAGAAAAAGCCTCCAAACTGTACAAAAAAAGGTCTCAAATAAATCCTGTGTCCCCTCCAGTACCTCTTACGTAGTTTTGTTGTGTCGACGTAAGAAACATTCAAGCCTGTAGAGAACTTTTATACGTTTATTTGAGCCAAACTGATGACAACTGCAGTGAAGCAAAATCCCAGCAGACTGAGAAAATGCTCTCTGAGGTGGTATATAGGCAAGACAACATGAGGAATTCTGCTCTGGTGAGGTGGCAGATTGTGCCCTAAACCATCTCGAAAAGACGGTTACTCTGACATTTCAAGGCTATGTTGTCTTAGATGCAAAAAGACAACAGGCAGGCTCACTTAAGGAAAAGATTGACCTTTAGCCAAGAAGCTACAGGCCTAGGAGTGACGGCTCCTCCTCAGGCATTTTCATGTTCAGAGCCTCCTATGTGGACAGGCCAGCCATCCTGGCCTCTCCTCAACTTGTCAGGTTTAGCGTGTGGCCCCTCTCTTGTCCACAGTTGTGAGAACAAGTACCGCCAGTGGACTATAATGTAGATCATAGGTTTTACTCTTTAAAAAATTAGCATTATGCTCATGTTACATCAGCTAAGCAGAGAACACTCTCAGTTTATAAACAAAGCTTACAACTACCTGTTAGCTGAGTGTGTATTGAAGTAATTCTATAGGGACCTCCCAGCAGGCGGGCTGTCGCTGCCCCAGGGGCACTGTGGAGTTCTGGTGGACGTATGACCAGTACTGATAAATATCTATGTGCCTGACAACATTGCAAGATAAAGAATTGCCCTGTGTCCTTCATCCGTCATGGTTTTTCAAGTCCTACTGCATGTTCATGGAAGTGAAAACTTTATAACTATCGAAGCCTGTGACTTACACTATTTTACCTATAAACACAACCTTTTTTTTTGCACAGCCTTAATATGTATAACTAGATATGCAAGTTTCTATTCTAATGTCCACAGTAGCTCTGTTCTTTATTTTCCTGCACCATTCGGAATGGCTGCTGGTCTTTTTCTCTTAAATCTCTTTAACATTGTAAGTATAGACTAATATCCGACTTCATTGTATCTTCTAGTGTACTCTCATGTGTAAGCATTTATAAATTGAAATATATTTTAGTTCACTACAAATTGCATTCTTTTTATTTCTCTTTTATATTAAAGGAACATTATATTTAGTCAGTGCAGCTGGCCTTGATGTCAGCCGTGGCATCACTTTTCTTTTGCAGGCAGGAGATGATGGTGCTCAGACCAGGTGGCAGCAATGGAAGTAGTGAGAAGTGGTCTGAGTCTGGGTGCGTTTTGAAGGGAAAGCTAGTAAGATTTGCTCATGACTTGGATATGAGCTATGGCAACTGGAATCATCTGGGGTGGGGGAAGGTGGAGCAGGTTTAGAAAGAAAGATGAGGTTTGGGCATAGTGTTTGAAATGTCTGTTAAACCTTCAGGTGGCAAGGTTGAGTAAGCATTTGGATGAGTCCAGGGTTCAGCAGAGACATCTAAACTGGAGATATATATTTTGGGAGTTGTTAGCCTCTGCTTAGTGCAATGAGTCTGGGTCACATCATTAAAGAAGGAAGTACTGTACAGATAGAGGAGATGACCCAGGATAAGATCCGTCCTGGGAAAGTGTGTTGTTCTGGACAGTAAGTGCAGAAGTTATCAAGGAGAAAGGTGTGGTGAATTGTCTCCAATGAAGGTAGCTAGGGAAGGCTTGTAAATCATGTTTTACAGATGACAAAACAGCCCAAAGAGGCCGTAACTGTCCCAGACACGCCATGGCAAAAACAGAGGAAGCGGGATTCAGACCCAGGCCTTCCTGCTCTGAGCAGCCACTCTAATGAAGAGGTCATGCTAATCACTTTCAAAAGGAAGACAGCAATGTTCCCCTAACTAGTCATTGTCTATCTTCAGTCCCTCCTAATACATGGCTTTTGTGGAATCACTTATGAAGCTAAATTTGATTAAAAGCCACGTGGGGTTAGAGGAGAAAGATGGGAAACAAGCACTTACAGAGCATCTACCGTATGCCAGGAACTAGGCCAAGCAATGACACACTTTATTTAATCTTCACAACCCATAGAAAGCATGGTTAGCTTCGTCTTACCCAAATGAAAACTAGGGTTTAGAAGGTTATGGCTGTAAAGCTTGCGCATGGCTGTGTGGTCAGTGATTCATAGCACTGGGTTTTAAACCTAGCCAGGTCATTTCTTCCCTATCAGTTATGACCCCCTGAGGACAAAGAATGAATCTGTTTCCATCTGTAATACTCAGGCCGCATCTATCATGGACTACCCTTTCCTCGCCCATCTGTACTTCCAT